AAACGAATTATGAACGGGATAATCGTGTTGTTTGTTAACCGTGTTTTGCTAGTTAGTTAAAGCGGACAAGAGATTACAGTTTACTAAAGTGTTCCTTTGAAAGAGAACGAACCAAAACTAATTAAACCCGGTGTTTTTAAATAGGTTCGAATTTATTTTTACTCCCAATTTGTTGAAAATTGCGTTAATTTCCTTTTTTAAATGTTGAAATTAATTAATTGTACTCATTTTAGGTTGCGTAATTTTGGATAATTAACCTCTGTGGGAATTAAATTTAAAAGGTGATTTATTGACTAATTACATGAACAGATGTTTCAATTAATTACAAACAGTTATTAAATTATAAGTAGAAAATTTATGAAAAGCATTGAGTATTTTGAGAAACGTCAACATAAAATAAAAGCTAAACTCATAACAATATCTTCTTTTTAACGAAATCCGCCCGGCGACATTCAAAAGCACAGCTTTTTTTCACATTCAACTTCAATAGCTTTGTTGGAATATTTTTAAATCCCAGGGTGGTATATTTTTTTCCCCAAAAAAAAACTCAATTCGTTAATAAAGCTCGCGTTGGAAGTTTTTGGGACTGGGTAAACGTCGGGCGAGAAAAGCTCGCCTCCGGGTGCTTTTCACGAATTCATTTGAACCCGTAGGTGGAATTTTAGGAAGAGCAAGCCCCTATGCGATGTGAAAACTCCGACTATACTAGTAGAAACTTTTCGTTCCGGTCGATCGGACCTGATTGGGGATTTTATGACATACTCGAATACCCGATGACCAATTCTATTTAATATTAGAAATTCTTGAGAGGTTTTCAACTGATCATAATTTCTTTCAAGTAAAACTAGAATTAATACTAGCACTATCATTAGAAGTAACATTAGATCTCAAACTTGAAACTTTCGGGTTAAGCGTCTGAAGACGCTCTACCAAATCCGAAACTTTCTAGTTGTATAATAAGTTTAGTGTTAGTTCTAGTTTTAGCCGTGCGTCTCTTAAGACGGCTAAAGCCGAATGTTTTTAGGTTTAGTGTTAGTTCTATATTTAGTCCAATAAAAATATACAAACTGCTGAATAACAATTAAAACTAGAACTAACACTAGACCTAGAACTAGAAAGTTTCTTACTAGAAGTCTTGTCTTCAGAAGCACGGCTAAACCCGAATGTTTCTAGTTCTAGTGTTGGTTCTAGTTTTAGCTCAATAAATATACAGATCTAACGCTGAATAATAACTAAAACTACAGTGTGTTAATTAATTATCGTATCCGACGTCATCATTGCAAGTATGCAACCAATACTATGATATTGGAATGATGACGTCGGGTACGATAATTAATTAACACAGTGTAGAACTAGAACTAGAGCACTACAACTAACACTAAACCTAGAATTAGAATCATTCGAGTTTAGTCGTGCGTCTCTTAAGACGGCTAAACTCGAATGGCTCAATAACAATTAAAACTAGACCTAACACTAGACCTAAAACTAGAAACATTTTGGGTTTAGCCGTGCGTCTGAAGACTTACTTTTCCATGTTCTACAATATCATTTAACCCCTGTTGACACATAAATCTGTAGCAACATTTAAGTTGTGCTCTCACTGCCAAAGAATACGGTACATTTTTCTTACAACGTAACCTTCTGGAATTAAATCACGGACAATAAATTTAAAATTTCGTACAAAACATAACATTTCAGTTGCTGAAAATATTTAATAACCTTTATTTATATCCTATATTTAATATCTTTATATGTGCAGGAATGTTTTTTTTGTATCGTTCATAGGAAAAATATTGCACTCGTGAATTTAATAGATCAAGTGAAAAATATTTATCTTCAAGAAATTTAGTTAGTATCAGTGCCATATCATATCTAAATACCCCTCCAAATAAATCATACATTATTTTACTATACAAATTATTATAAACATAAAAATTGTTCAATTGATGCCAAATGCATTTTTCTTTTATACCTAATTTTTATTGTAAATGCACGTTATAATCTTGTTCCAGCCTTATACGATCTACACATTCTCATGTACAAAATCTGCAGTAATTTGTTGCAGAGAAACTTTCACATAAACCCAGTATAGAATGTAAACCTAAGTTGTCACCTAGAAGCAACACAAGAATGAAATACACTGTTTTTGTTCCTTCTTTAATATTAATGCCAAGCCCATCACTTTCTAACACTTTTATTCATGCAGTAGAGATGCTAATGTGCGCTCATTTCCGCATACAACTCTATCATCGCTATAGAAAATTGAAGCCAAAAATAAATTATCAAGTCTATTAATAAATGATGGTGGTATGGTTGCAATAGTATAGTACACAGCTCCTATTTGATAAATGTTGGCTTTACTTCCTAAAGGGTTTCCCGGTTGGAAATCATCAAAATACAAGACTATTGGTAAAATAAGTTTATGTGGGTAATTTTTTATATTTTGATATACCGGGTGTCCCTCAGAAGTGGCTCACACCCATATTTTTTTTTATTATTAGTGATATAAGAAAACTATTTGGAATGCATAATTAGGCCGTTAAAATGGATTATTACGACATGAAATCATTCTCTTTGTGCTTCCGGTTATACCGGAAGTGAGTACTAATTTTGCTAGTTTTTTAAATCTATAATTTTTTTTTCTTCAGTTGGATCGACAGCATAATTTCACATAACTTTTACTTAAAAAAATTTTCACGATTGCTTCTAATTTTTGAAAAAAACATTATTTTCGTTATTTTTTAGCGTTTTAGTATCTTTGAAAAATATATTAGAACTTTTGACGCATAGTAGCTAGGTTAATAGTATAAATTACGCTATGTTCCTCTTGATTTGCTATTTCTCGAGCAGTTATCACTGGTATGCTTCAGTCAGTGGTTCTTACGTTATCGTGTTTTTTTAATACAGTTAATCCAAATTATAATGTACAATGGACATTGTACATTGTCAGCTACAGATCATTTAGTGTAAAAGAACAAAAAATAAAGAAAAAAATCAAAGATCAAAAATAATTGAATTAAACTTAATTGTTCTTAAATTAATTGTCTTAATTGTAACTTAATTGTCTTAAATGTTCTGTAGCTGATAGTAACTTACAATGTACAATGTCCATTGTACATTATAATTTGGATTGTTTACTTTATTTTGGTTAAAACCTTCCAGGTCATCTGACCTTACACCTTTAGATTCTTTCTTATGGGGCAAAATCAAAAATGAGGTGTATAATACGCCTGTAAGGTCTCGTGAAGCATTAGAAAATAAATTTTCTATTGCCTCACGCGTTTATTCGCGTTTTTCTTTTAAAACTAATTTAATACAACTGTTAACTTACACTATTATTAAAAAAGAACCACTGACTAAAGCAGTGATGAAATAGCAGTGATCACTGCTCGAGTAATAGTAAATCAAGAGGAACACAGCGTAATTTATACTATTAACCTAGCTACTATGCGTCAAAAGTTATAGTACATTTTCCGAAGGTACTAAAACGTTAAAAAACAATGAAAATAATTTTTTTTTCAAAAATTATAAACGATCGTGAAAATTTTTTCAAATAAAAGTTATGTGAAATTATGCTGTCTACCCAACTGAAGAAAAAAAAATTATAAATTTAAAAAAATAGCGAAATTAGTACTCACATCCGGTATAACCGGAAGTACAAAGTAAATGATTTCATGTCGTAATAATCCGTTTTAACGGCCTAATTATGCATTTCAAATCGTTTTCTTATATCACTAATAATAAAAAAAATATGGGGGTAAGCCACTTCTGAGGGACACCCGGTATAAAGCCATGCACTACATTTTGTAAAGGGCTTATGTTTTCAACAAAATTTCTAAGTAAGTCATTTTGATAAGTATTTCTAAAAAATATTTTAAATGGGCTTTTAATGCTACGATTTTTTAATAGCAATTCTCTCCATTGCGTCGCTTAGTATAGTAGAAACCACGAGAGCTGGCAGTGACAGATCGCTTAAAAATGGTATGAATCAAGATATGGACGTACGACTTAGATTATTTCACCACATACATTTAAATGTAGGTTATGTTAGTAATGGAGGTTATATGTCAAATATTGTCAAAGATATTATTTAATGATTTTCCTTTCAAAGAAAACATTTTCGGCTTGTGAAAACACTAACAGATTCATGACAACGCTCACAAGACGTTTCGATTTTAGGTTATAATTATAGAGTTACATCCCTTAGAAGAACAGACGTACTTTTTCGACGTGGCCATTTGAATTGTACAGCAGACATATTAAACTAATGCTATCTCTTTCTAACACACATTACTCTCTAGCGGTTTGTGAACTACGTATGGCATTTGTAAGAGCGGAAAACGATGATTTACTGCCAGCTCGCGTGGCGTCTACTATATCAGGAAAACTATCTAAAATGTATTCTGTAGGTCGAATAAAATATTGACTAACTTCAAAAAATTTTAATCGTTTATATTCTGTATCAAGATTTAAAAACGGATTTTCAATTAGTGTAATCATCTTATCTAAGAAACAAATATCGTTACTTGTTAAAAAAAATTCTCACAAACTTATGATTTTTTTAAAACATGAATAGTAGGCAAATACAATGTATGAATCATACCTATAATACGTTGAATACTACTTCTTGGCAAAGACAAATCATCATACAATTTGGATATAAACAGTTGTAAAGCATTTTGATGGGCTTTGCTGTAATGTTTAAACAAGAAATCAGTATTGTGCTCTCCGTTGAGCGTTTTGTTTGAAAATCATTTTTGGCATCATCTTTCACATTATTTATATTTAATAGGTTTGCTGTAATTTTTGAACTAAAAATTGAAGTACAAGTAGATGTATTAGAAGAATGGATGAACCAGCAATAATAGTGCTGGTATTAGTTCTAGTTTTAGCTCAATTAACAATATCCATGAAAACTTTCGTACTTACACTATTCTTTTATTAATAATTTCTTTGGACTATGCATCTATTATTATATAACTTTTTGAAAATTGTTTCAGATAGCTGATGCGAACCCATTCACCATGAGCTTTTTCAGCTCAATTCAAGAATATGTCAGTAATAGTGTGGCCGGTTTGTCTTTGAGTCCAAAAAGGTAAGTAAAAATTGTTGGTGATTTAAATTGTTTTCATCGCGAATTCTCTAACAATGCCGCGAGCTCCCGAAATATGAACGTAACGACGAGACGCCACGTCTTGAGGAAAGACTTTTTAGTTTAATTTTCCGCCTCTTTATTCCCAACCCGGCATTGTTCGCATGTTAATGAATTCCTACTGTGCAAGAATTCGCCGTTTTCAGTTTCCCGTCAAAACATCGCTCTATTGTTGTTGTGAACCTGTCTACATTCTTACAGGAATTCCTTTTTTATTTTAATACTTTAAAACTAAAAATAAAAAGATTGATGATAGATATTTTTGATGTAACCTCATATCATTAAAATTATTCATTGTATCTTTAAATCTAATTAATGTTACATAAAGTTTAACAAGGACTTTATTTTAGATGATTATTTAATATTCATAGACACCAAAAGCTCTGTGGTGAATTCTCTCGAGATAATTTCGCTATTTAAATTCTCTTTAGGTCGGCCTACTTGGAGGATTAATAGTCTCGAAGTTTCAAATAAAATAAACTATTTCGAGCTTAACTAAAAATATTCGCATCCAATTTAAGCCCAACCCAAAAACCTTATCTTTTTTAACTTTCCCCTCGTTAATTAGGCATTCAAAAACAAGCTAGTGCCATTAAAGTATCTATTTACAAACCCCTATTCGAATTTTCACTGTGAATTAGTACTAAATTCAGCGAATTTATTAACCCCATCAAGATCAGATACACAACTGAACCGGTTGTGGGGACAACACGTTTCAGTTGACCGCACAAACTACAGACGTCGTGACGCCATCCGACGCCCGACGTAAAATGCCATTTATCACGTTGCGTGAGCGTGTAAATTTTCGATTTTACCGCACGTTGATGTTGTATTCGGAAAGACATTGAGAGTTGCGTGTGCACATGTTTAAATAGGTTATAGGTTAATGAAACTCATATTGTAATATTCCTTCTTCGGATTTAGTTGAAAATAAGCTGCCTCATTTTACCAAATGATAATTTAATTTATATTGTATCCGCTTAACTTCTCACACAAAGTAAATTTTAAGGTACAATCGGGAGGTAGTAATTTTCTGTGGTCGTCGTTTAATTGCACGCGGACGTGTTAATTAATTAAAGTCGTAGACTAAGTACAACTGGGAAGTGAGGAAATGGAGGAAGAGCTTACGTAGTACGGCTTTCGTACAAGCAAAGCTTTTAGCTGGATACCTGTAAATTGATTGCATTCGGTTTAGTGTTAAATTCGTAGTACGAAGAATGAGATGTACTTAATTGAGATGGTTTCTAGATTTATTTCGGAATTTTGCACGACTGTTATAAATTGTTTCAAAGAAGAGATTTTAAGATTTAAGAAGGAAGCTATTTTTCAAGTTTCTCTATTAAAATAACTCCCTCTTCACTATTAACTTATCCAGCAACTTTCTAGTATCAACCGTGAACATAGAAGTTTCTTTTTAGCAAAACTCTAAAAGAGACAATGAGTTTGGTTCGAAATCTTAATGATGGCTCTTTCTTCCATATTGATCGGAAAAGGGAAGTACATTAAACACACTCAACTATGGAATATGTAGTATTATGTTGTTCTAGCGCATAATGCGTGGTTTATCTACGATTAAGTGGTCTCATCATCGCACTTTCTCCAAGAAGTACTCAAACTCAGTTAACTGCATTACCGTAAAATTATAGCTTAGCTCAACACTCTGTCATAAATTACTTTGGAAAGTTGTATCAACTATGCTTGACGTGCGCTGTTTACAAGCAGCAGTGGACACGAGCTTAATTCGCTGTCAAGTAACACAATAATTTTGTAATGTTGTCAAAGTTATTTTTGTAATGATTAAGTTGGTACAAACTGTTACAAATGTCATTATACAGGAAATTTGTTGTCCTGGTAAAGATAGTCCTAATAAAGCACATAAAATTTGGAAAATAAATCAGCAGATTTCTTAAAATTTCATTTGTTTACATAATAAGTCTTGGGATTGACACGCTTCTTCTAATCCATGAAAGTATCACAAAGAATATCAGCGGAATTAATTCCATAAGACACTATGTTACAATCTACATTTAACATATTAATGTATAAAACACGCTCTTTATGTGACTTGTCACCATAGCGGAACACAACATAATTCATATCATTATGGACATCACTAACCTTTATCTGGACTATCATTCGCCTTAATCTTGGGGGTGGTGTGATCCTGTTTTTCTTCATCTAGGTCTCACTCCTCAAGGCGACGCAAATCATGCTCTAATTGGAGTGCTGCCAGGACATTGCGTAATGTTTTCATACGTTATCAAGGATGAGTCGTGGAAAATCGATGAGTCGTAGCAAATGTAGTCGTGAGATTTGCTGAAATATGGTGCATCGTTGACCATTCGAGACTGTTAAACTGTAGTTCATTACCTATGAGAAGTGCTCTCTGATATCTATATTTTAGAACATAATAGCATTGGTCGCTTCCCTAACGGGCATAGCGAAGACTTCAAATTTTAGAATAGTTTTATCTATCTAACTGAAATTTTTCCAATGTATTTATCATCTTTATAAAAAAAATCTAGGCATAAATTGAATGGGGGTGGTTACGTTTAGTAGTTTAGAAGGGTAGGTTGAAAGTACAAATAGAGTCAAAACGTGCCCTATTATGAGTTAAATATATTCCACAAATTTCATTTTTCTAGCGTTTATGGTTTTTGAGAAAAAAAAATTAAACCAAAATTTTCCGCCATTTTTGAAGGGGTGTAGCTCCTTAGGGGAGCCGAAGTCGCCCATGGTTCATATATCAAAGTACCCTTAAAATTCACTAATGAATCACCCCTTGAAGTTTCTTGCAGTCATTCAGATACACCCTGTATATACATTTATGTATATACTTTGAAGAGTAAGAGGCGAATTGGCCTTGAATGTATCTCTACGCGAATCTCTGCAGTTTAGGTCGGAGATTAATTTTATAATGCGCTTCTGCGCTACAAAGGCACGCCGCCACTCCGTCGATCTTCCCCACAATAATTATATTGTATGAGAGATGCTAATAACAGAGAACATCTAATAATCCCGATAGCGGCAGGCATCCCTTCAATTTCAGAATTGCATAAAAGGAAGAGTTCAATTTCGAAACCAGATGATCAACATGTTTGTTAAAACTTAGCTGCTCGTCTAGATAAACACCCAAAAACTTGCAGCTATTCGACAGAATTATATCACCAGCCTGCGGAAGCCTTCTCCTCTTATGAAAATTTAGAAACACGGTCTTCTTTAGATTAAGAACAATGCGATTTTATTTGCACCAAGCATCAAATGACTCAACGGTATGCTTAATTTTAGAAAAAAGCATATTAGCATCATTTGACGTCAGGGCAATTGACGTGTCATCGGCATACATGACTATGTGGACATCGGAAAGACACTCAGGAAGATCATTTATATACAATAGAAAAATTAATGGGCCCAAGATTGAGCCCTGGGGAACTCCCAGTAAAACATTTGATTCCGACGACTCCTAACCAGAGAGGACCACTTTTATTTTTCGTTCCTCCAGAAATGATTGAAGCCCGTTTAAAATCGCAAACCTAAAGCATACAATTTCTGTATGATTATGATTTTAAATATCATGTAATAAGCGTTCAAACCTCGATATTAATTTAGAAACACCCTGTACTATTGATCTCTGTGTTGGTAGTAATCATCAGTCAAGATGTTAATGTTGCCGAGAGAGATCAAGGCAAAGACATAGGTAAGACTACTTGAGACTAAAAGATTATTGAATTGTTGACACCGACCAGCATGAGATGAAACAGGTAACTAGTCCCATTTTGTTGCTGTAAGGAATTTTGATTGGTTTACTTTTAGAATGTTCCAGCAACCAAAACGAAAATTCAATCTGGAGAAAACCCTCACGTGATCCAAATCTTGAGTTGTCCCTTTTATAATTGCTAAGATGGACTATTTATCACCCGTTTAGATGTTTAATTGATGATATTTCATACTAAATCACTTTTCGTCTTCTTTTTTTATTATCGACGCTTAATCGATGCCTAGGGGGTGAAAGTGCAGAACGACTTAACTGAGCGATTACTTCTTTCGTAACATTTTCGGGCAATAACTTAATAAATATGGTGACACCTAGACTGAAAAGGAAGTAGAATTCTTTTGGAAACCGATTTTGAAATGTTTCCAAAATATAATGATCCCATCATGACTTTAAATCATTACCAAGAATTCTTCTTTATGTTCAAGGTGCCCTGCACTGAAAAGGCAAAGTATACTTTTTAGCTGTAGCTTAGCACATGAGTCGATTTGACTGGAGAACATTTTTGAATTAAGTCAAAAGGTGAAGTGACATGACTATGGTTGAGAAACCGCGGCTATTTCCGAGAACCAGTTAATGAAACATGTCCCAGTGGTTCCCATGACACTTTCGGTATTTGTAAGTATTCTCCTTGGTTCGAAACTTATTGGAACTAACCTTGATTTCATTTGATTGATCTCCATTTTCGCTTTTGCAAATGATGGATTTGTGTCAGTATATCAAGTAAATGTAGCTCATTCTGTGGTTATTGTAAATTTTTTGCGTGCCAGTACTGGTTTTATTCTAAGTATTCAAAGTTGTCCAAAAAAATTTATCATCATCTCGAAATAGCCACCATTCCAAAAGTTCTCATCTTCGTTCGTATAAGTCTCTAAAATATGTTACAAGATATTACGTTAAATTCTCCAATTCATCACCATTAAACATTCATTATAGATTTCAACGTACAAATGTTTTACCAACAATTTTTGTTGTAGATAATACATTTCGATTTTGGTAATTCATTTTGATAATTTTACGCTAGGTTTAAATAACGTGAAAGCGATTGTTAGGGATTTTAGGGGTTTATTGGATAAAACATTTTCAATGGGATTAAAATAAAGGTTGCCATATAATACGGCTTTAAATTGGGTTCTAATTAAATAGTAATGAGTCGGAATTCCATTTAGTT